AATCTTTAAGATTACTTACAACAGAACAGCAATGCATTTTATGGACGACCGTTTCGTGAACCTAGGAGAGGAGGTAATTCTGACTTTGCTATGACAATCTGGCGCTTCTGAATCAGCTACTGTTTTGTTATTAGTTTAAGTATTTGCTATTGACTGTTCAAATGCGGAGTTTTGCGCAGCGCAGAGTAACGCGTCGTGTGTGTGTGTGTGAGGGGAACAGGGTCACATCACAGGAGAGTGAACTGCCTGTCTGAAATCATAGCATGTCAGCTGTCTTAACCGTGGCTTGTGTACTGCATCATCACTGTGTCTGTCACGCGACTCTGTTGCCCTTTCGGGCTTGAACTGATGGTAAAACTAACGACATTATTAACTGTCTTGATATTTACTTTGAAAGATGAAGCTCGCGATTATGGTAAGGGCCGTTACATTTCCGACGCGTGCTTGTGGTGTTCGGCCAATCACAATGCACTGGGTCAGCTGGCCAATCAGAGCAGACTGTGTTTGTCAAAGGAGGGACTTTATAGAAAACGAAGCGTTTGAGAGAGGCGGGGCATAGAGGACCTACAATAATGTACAGTATTTGAAAAATAATGTGTTTTTTGAACATTAAAGCATGTCAACATATTCTGTTACACCAAATACACAAAATAATGATCTTTAAAATAGCATCATATGACCCCTTTAAAATGTGTCCTTCATGCAATTTAGAAGGAAATTTTGATACTCTAAATATATTTATCATTTGATTTCAGTAAATGTCAAACTCATAAATGAAAGCGAGGCTGTGAGAGATATACGTACAGTATGTTCAGTTAGTTGCAATGTTTTCTCTCTCTCACTTTCTCTCATCTACTCACGCTATCATTAATCAAACTGTAACCTTAATTAATGAAATGCAGAAATTAAAACTCACTCTGCGCTTCCTTTGTGGTTTCTGATTGTCCATGAGTCTTCAGGCATGTTTAATTTAAGCGGTATGTTTTGACATTATACGTAGATAAATTATGGTTTATTGTCACCGTTGCTGTCTAATGAAGTGTTTGCAATCAGTGTTGTTTTGTTATAACTCTGAGGTTAATCAAGTGACATTAATTCTGTCGTTGTGTGTTTAACGCTTAACAGAAGCTCTGGAAATTATTATTTAAACACAAATGTGGATGAGCAAGAAATTAGCGTCTTTTCAATGCTTTAGTTACAGTTTCAGTGTAAATTGATGTTAAGCAAAACAATTTTTATGTGCTATTTGCATTTCTAAAAGCATTTCTAAGTTTATTTATGCTACTATTACATTTTTACTGCAAAATAGAATAACATGCATGACTATTTTAAATTAGGCTAGTAAATTGGATCCATAAATGCAGGTTTAAAACAATATTAATGCGAGAACAAAATGTCAAAGCTGGTGGTCTCTGTGCTGTATTCAGTGCATCTTCAGCCTTAGTTTGCACACAGCATGAATATGAAGATTCCTTTGTCACTGATAAATACATCACATCCGATCCGGTCCCACGCACTAATCCGGACTGTATCCCCCTCACTCTCTCGACAGACTAGTCCTCTTTATCCCCAGGCACAAGGCATCCCTATGCATTAAACATCAAAGACAAATGAGATCTCTGCTCAGATGCTGCTAAGAGGAGATTTTGAGGGGAAAAGCCAGAAAATGAAGCGTCTACCCTCCATCTGCCATCTGCCTCTGCTGTGACAAGAGTTTCATGAATTCAACATCACACCGTATCCACCACAACAACAGCAGCCACCGCAGTCTGAAGACCTGATAATGTCTAAATCTAGCAGCACTGAATTATGCGGCGCTTAAAGGAATCTGGGTTTATTGATGGAGGAGAAGCTGGTAAAAAGCAAGTGCTGGTGGCTGACCTTGCATAGATGTTCATAATTGGCTGCTATCATGCAAAATTGAAACAGTAAAGGCTGTCATTTAAACAATATAATATGGGTTTAAGTAGTGCTTGACTGATGAGGATTTTAGTTTATGCATCATGGTTGTTTCTGTTCATCCGCTTACCTCCAGCTGTAATTTCATTTCTGAATGATGTGTTACATCTATGCAATGTTACATTCTATTCTCCTAGATCATAAAAGTTCATAACACCATTGTTGATGATGTAATGCCGATATGTAAAATACAATATCATGGTAGCAAATATGACATATGCAAAATAATCTCAAGATCTGACTAATGTATAATTTTTAAAAAGCATGTTTAAATTAGTAGCTCAAGCAAACATTTTAATTTGTTAAAAATGTGCTCATCCTTAGGCCATCCGAGATGTAGATGAGTTTGCTTCTTCATCACATTTGGTGAAATGTAGCACTGCATCAGTGTCTCAGCAATGGATGCTCTGCAGTGAATGGGTGCCGTCAGAATGAGAGTCCAAACAGCTGATAAAAACATCACAATAATCCACAAGTAATCCACACCACTCCAGTCCATCAGTTAACATCTGGAGAAGACAAAAGCTGAAACAAATTCAGCATTAAGACGTTTTTAACTTCAAACTGTTGCTTCCAGCTAAAGTACGAGTCCATAATCTATAATAACGCTTCCTGGACTTTGAAAAAGTCCATTTCCTGTTGTCTCTCGCATCAAAATCCAGCCACATATTTGTTCAGAGCTGTTTTGGATTGTAAATGCTGCTTGATCTGTGCAGATTTTTATCCTGATTCAGACCAGACCCATTTTTCACCAGAGGAAGCGTTATTATGGATTATGGTCTTGGAGTTTAGCCGGGAAAAAATGGTTTGAAATTATAAATGTCTTCATATTGGATTTGTTTCAGTTTTTGGTTTCTCAAGACATTAACAAATGGACTGGAGTCCATGGTGTGGATTACTTGTGGATTATTGTGATGTTTTTATCAGCTGTTTGGACTCTCATTCTGACG